TTCAAAATTTAAGAGTGTATGTCTGTACTTTCTTTGTGCAGTTTCTAATAGAAAAAGAAAAGAAAGGATGTGACACATGGGATATGGAACCAGATTGAATTGGAGGGTTAAGTAGAAATCAAAGATATGCAGAAGAAAGATATGGTGAAGAGAGGCTTCAGGATGTGAATATCTTTTTAAAGAAATATATGGATGTAAACATCTGTTGAATCAATATCTTCAGATGCCTCTTTTTCCCACTTCCCATTGATTCATGTCTCCATCATTTTTTTCAGTAACTTAGAACTCATTGCTTAGTTTTGCAGAAATGCACATGATTTTGTTTTAAATGACATGGCCCATTTTCTTTGAGTGTGTCACCCATTGACCAAAGCTTGTTTATCCAGCATCATGTGCAGCTTTGAAAAATTGCCACATTTTTTTTCCAGACATGTCTGCAGTCATGTTAGCATGTTGACTTGGGCTTTTCAGCTTCTAATCAACATTGCCTGCATATTTTTCTGCTCCTTCCAGAACCATATGTTCAGCATGATCAGTATGGGCATAAAGAAGCTCCCTTAAAGAAATGGAAGTTGGGATTTTGTAAAAGTTACTGGATCTTCTGCTAAATGCGGTATTACCGTATTTTCAGGGACATCAACAAATATACCTACTCCCTGTGACAGACATGAAATGTTGAAGTGAAAATATACGGCACAGTGAATGTGTGCCAGAAAACTGACACCTGCTGATTTCAGTGTCTTCGTATACTGGGCTTCAGTTAGACTTACATGGCTCTGGTAACGGGCCACTCAATTTAATTGTAACGGATGTTAAAGGTACCTTGCGATACCTATTCAAACAATATAAGATGAAGATGCCAACATCAGTTCAGCAATGAACTAAAATTATTTTAGTGTCCTTTTTCTGCAAATAGGATTATAATTAGTGGGATGATTATGAAAAGATGAATGAGCTGTAGCAGTGAAATCCATTGATTCAACAGATAGGTTATGCTCTCTCACACAGAAATCGTCTTGTGTTTTGTTTCAAATAGCTTTGGGGGAATGCAATGTTCGGGCGCAATCGAGAGAAAATTGTGGCTGGCCGGGCATCAGTGAAATGGAGTGCAGCGCAATGCAATGCTGCTTTGATTCCAACGTGATGAATGCCCCCTGGTGTTTCAAACCTGTTCCAATAACTGGTTAGTATCCTCACCTGTAACCCGTTGCTGGGCTGTATCATTTCACAACACACGTAGAGGTCCACTTTCAAGAGATTGTTGCAAGAAATTAAAAGAATCTACGAACTGTACATAAATATAACCACGAAACTTTGTGGGGCTTGAGCTCCAAAACAGCTACGTGCCTTATTAGTCTGCTTTAGAAATCACAGGTCTCTGTGTTACACAATTCTCTTGGAATATTAAAAGAAAACCTCTGTAGGCTATCCTGGGTCTGTGGATCTCTCTGCTTGCAAACAAAATGCTCGGCACTGCGTTTGCTACAGAGTCATATGCACCGCTCCTGCTCTCATTCCTGCATGCCTAAGGCGCAAGGCAAACTGCCACCCAGTTCCCATTTGCCACAGACTAGGAGATGAATCTTGACCATCAGCATTGTCAATGGAGCAGTGGCCTCTATCACATCCGAAGGACACTGCTTCGCTTAACATGTGCAATATAGGCTGCATGGAAGGCAAAAATCTCTTTGCCAAGACAGAGGGAAGAAGGGTTTCAGGGATGAAATTGTCAGCTCAGTACCACATCAGACCCCAATGCGATAAATCATATTATACAGTGGGGCCTCCTTCCCAATTCAGCCTGTTCCACTCTCAAACAAATCTTTAAGCAGCACCCTTGCACCCTTGTAATAATGTTATAGAGAAGATTGAGGGAATCTCCAGTCTCTACTTGCTATTAATGAGACAGACTAATGAACACTCCCTCACCCCTCGAACTCTAGATGAAAAGCTAGGAAAAGGAGAGTGAGTCCTAAATGTTACTCTTCTGCCTACTGTGTAGTTGCGCACTGCCACCATTACTTTTACCCAAATTGAAAAATTATGGAAACAGCAAAGGCAGAATGCATCTTCAGCTGTTTCGTCTGCCAGTGTGACATAGCGGTTAGAGTGCTGGACTAAGCTTTGGGAGACTTGGGTTCAAATCCTCACTCAGATATGCAACTTACCGAGAGTCCTTGGGACAGATACATTCTTTCTGAATATAGCCTGACCTACTTCATAAGCTTGTGGGGAAGCTAAAATGGGGCAAAGGAGGAGAGCCATGTACAGTGGTGCCTCGCTAGATGATGATAATCCATTCGACTGAAATCGCTCTTTAGCAAAATCATTGTCTAGCGAAAAGCATTTCCCCATTGGAATGCATTGAAACCTGTTTAATGCGTTCCAAAAGGGAAGAATCGTCGTTGTCTAGGGAAGATTGGCCACAGGAAAGCCACTTTGCAAACTGCCGATCAGCTGTTTAAATCGCTGTCTTGCGAACCTTATGTCCTGAAAACACCTGTTTGCGAGCACGGAGGGAGCTGTCAAAATCATCGTCTAGCGAAAATCAGTTTGCAAAGCAGGGACCAAACATCGTCCAGCAAAATTCTCCCATAGGAATCACTGTTTTGCGAATCGCTATAACGATCGCAAAAAGCCAATGTCTAGCTAAAAAACTGTCATGCAGGGTAACTGTCTAGCGAGGCACCAATGTAAGCCATTTCCAGCTTATGGGGGGAATGTGGGGTTAAGACATAGCAAAGAAATAAGAAATATATGCACAGGTGTCATTTGGAAAATCTTAAGATGGTGCATCAATATGTTTGAAATCAACATTGTAATGTATTTGTGGTTAGCACTAACATTGTTCTTGTCTTCATTTCCCTTTTCTTTTTCTTCTTTCTTCACACAGAATGTGTGTTGTAAAATATTCTCCAGAAGGTGGACAGCCATGTAACAGGAAGGCATTTGTTTAGTAATCTTAGGAAGAAACAACTTTCCACATATGAAGAAGCTGCTCCAGAGTCATTCCATCATGATTCCATGTTTGTTTGATATTGTCACTGCTGAAATCCTGCAAATCCTGCAGCTAATTAAAATGCTTTAAACTATGGATGCAGATTATTGCTCCTGAATCTCTTTTCTATTGCTCAGCATTTGGACACCTTCCTGAAACAATAAAGCAAAGCAAAATGGCTGGTGTGTTCAATTTCTCTCGTTGCTCTTCTGCTGCTGCTTCTTCCCTTCCCCTCCAGAAAGCAAGACATTCCGTCAGACTTTAAATGAGGAACAAGGAGTTATTATTGCAACTAAGATGAGAGGTAAATATATGCAGTACGCAGGCTTCGTTTTTCTAACGTCTGTGGATCTTTATACAATTACCAATAATAAAAATGCTTGTAATACCCCCCCCCCCATCTCTGAAAAGAAGCACCTGGGAAATTGAGGATTCCAATAAAGGAAGGGATTAAACCTTTCCATCTCACAAATCGTTATTCCAAATAAGAGTACAATTCATTCAGAACACTGTAAAACAAAAATCAAGAACAAAACAAAGCCATCGAACAACAACCCTGGAGGATTGTTGCATACTATGGAGTTAATACATATAACATTTGCTCTTGCGAGCACCCAAGTAGTTGGAAGACCCCAGTTCACATCCTGTTCAGCTAAATGCATATGGGGTAAAAAGCCAATGGGGTAAAGTCAGTAACTGTGAATTTAGCTCACTTTCTAGGGTAGTTATGAAGATAAGCAGATAGGGAATCTCCTTGGAGGAAAGGCTGAGTGTAAATGTCTGCAATAAATGCATAAGGTTCATTTTGGAGGAACGTGATGGGGTGGATGGCCCATGGATTAATGACTTGCTAGACTCTCATTTTAGGGACAGTGAGGAAATCCAAACACAACTACTAATCATAGCCCTTAGTACTGGTCTTGCAGGACAAGAGAGCATGTTTAGACACAGGGTTGGTAGGGGTAGGTCACTAGCATTCACACTTCATGTATGTAGGCTGGGATTAATTCTGTGGAGCCTATGGCTGCCTACCTAAGGCATGAGTGGTGTCTAGGTGAAATGTGAAACAAATATCTGTTCCAGCAAAAGAGAACCAGATACTATTACTTCTGATGTCCTAGCTCATACTTACTAATCCTTGGAGTTTCTCTTATGAATGAGTTTGTATCCTGCCTTTTTCAAAGAGTTCAGTGCACCTGAGAGACAATGACCTGTTAAGGGTATCTTTCATTGAGATTCAAACCTTTCCCCCTAGCAGCTAATAGAGTCTTAGCTAATAGATTTTGATTCTTCAGGGACAAGTTTCCTTCTCTCTTATACATACTTGATCTTAGTTTGTTCCTTCCTTCATGGAGCTCATCCAGTGTAGGTCAGCATTTATAGCACAAGATAGTGTACAGCATCAGTCCAAGCAATCCAAGCACATCATCCTCATTTAATTAAAAGGTACTTCCTACGTATGGAGTGACTTATGCTGTTCTCCCATATCATAACTATAACAGGCTATTGTGAACAAGTAGGTCCAGTCTGTCTAGCTACAATGCCTTTCAGCTACAATCCCATTTTAAAAGTTTTGTTCTTATTATAAAAAATGCAAAATTGCTATAGTTCAGCTAGAAGTGGCTTTCAGGAAGCTGTGAACATGAGCCATCATGTCCTGTCCAAGTCATATGCTGGCAGGCAATAACTCAATGCCTAATTTTTACTATCTAATAGGGAAGGGTTATTGCCTGGACATTATGCCAGAAAAATGACTAAAGCAAGCTCCCGATGTAGTGGAATGCTGGTGTTCACACAGCACCCAGATATGAGACATCGTGTGCCACCCAAGTCACTGATATGTTAATTCAGCAGTTTATAGGACTTTATTCTGAACTGGCTAAGCAGCTCAAAAATAATTTGGGAGGCTTGGTCTTCTGCCAAGGTCTGAACTATCATGTATAAACAAGCCCTTTGTCATTTGTTCTGTTAAAAATTAAGCTTGTATGCTCAGCTCCAGCATGATGTAAGATCCCAACCATTAGATTCTGATCTGAAAACGAAGAGCCATTATGTATAAAATAATCTTTGGGATAGAAGACAACAGGAAGTCCTGTGTTACCTAATCATCTGTGACTGAAGGCACCAGAACTGAGCCACTTATTTCTAACATCTCAACAATTCAAGTAAGAGAAAAACTTCTACATGTTTCTTTGACTTTTTCTGTGTGGTCTTTATGTCAAATGCCATACAATTTCAAATGATGCTTAAAATATGCCTCACATTTTATAAATTATATGTCTCATAATTTTTTTACATTGTTCTGAAATGTCCACAGGAAAAATAATTTCCTGAACATGTATATTTTTTTACAGTTATTGACTCTCAAGATCAAAATGTTATAATAATGAGTGTTCATTGCATGGATTCTTGCACATAACTGTGTGGCTTGCATGCTTCTATAAACAAAAGACTCTGTAAATATATTCACAAAACATCAGATGATAAAGGATAGCAGAGAGGATGGATTCAGTACATCGACTTGATGAGTAACTGCTCTGCACTGTTACATAGAAACTTCTTCACAGTCAGCCAGAACATCCTTGGGCCAGATAGAAATGCACAAAGAAGGCCACTCAGGGTTTAAAGTTGCCTTGCACATCAAATAAAAGTCTCTCCTCCACAACCTCTGCTCTCCTTGATATTTGTCTCTTTACTGCAAAAAGTGAGGAAACAGAAATTCCTTGAAAATCCAGCAAGGCTTCCGAGGCCTAGCAACCTTAAATATCCAAAAGGCATTCACATGATAGCAGAGAGTAAAAGATTGTCCCAAAGAACAAGGATACTTCTAACAGGCTGAAGTGTAATATAACATTTAGCCAGAAAAAGAAGCCCAGGAAAGCTTGGTTAGTTAGTCTTCCTGGGTCTGTTTTTGGTTTTTAGCCTTGAATTTGGGGAGGAGGAGGGTAACTCTACAAATCTTCCAGTTATTCACAAATGCTGCTGTTTTGGCTATATAAGAACCAGGATGAAAAGAATGAGTTCACTACTAGTAAATAATAAGGTTGTGAACATTTTTGGGGTGGGATCTAATTCTCTGGAATTTTCCAAGTCTCCTCAGGCTGAAATTTTTCACTGGGACTTTTCATTGCACCAAGATTTCTTAGCTGCTTGTAAAAATGGTATTCCAGTCTTATTTTTCTTGTTTATTTAGGGATTCCCCCCCCTTTCTTTCTTCATTTTCATATATCATTTTCCACAAGAAATTGCAGCGTTCTGTGCAAATCAGTGCCCTTTCTGGAGAATTTTGTGCAGGAGTGGTAATTCTGTGCAGGTTTCTTTTTTTTTGGGGGGGGAATAACATGGAACCCAAGAAATCTCATGCAATTTGTCGAAAAAGAAGCAAAGAGAGAGAAAAGGAAAATCTCCTACAGAAAAATCTTGCTCTGAGGAGAAAAGAGGGTGTTTGTTTTCTTTAAATTTTGTCTAAGTTTCTCACTAAGTGCAGGAAGCTGCAAGGGGCTTTGCAGTTATGTATTCCAGTTTTTGGAAGTGCATGACTATATTAATTGTACTTCATCCCTGCAGAGAGATTGGTTGTGATTGGGTTCTTTCGTAAGTGTGGGCGGGCCCAGGGTTTCGGCGGGAAGAACAGAAGGAATGGAGGCATCCGGTACAAACAACGGTTCTTTATTCATTTTAACATCCAAAACACCTAAACCAAAAGGATCCAACTCATTCACCTCCTGCAACATCTTATAACTTTTAACTTTCTCAAACTCAGTATTTCTTCGCTTCCTTATTCCCTCTTCATCCCAAGGATGTTTGGAGAAACTCTGCTCTGTGCTGGGAAGCTCAACACCACACACATTGTCCCGCAACAGGGATGTTTCACATAATTTCCTTCCAGCCGGGGGAGATAGTTGCTGACACCAGAATGGATCTCCTTCTTCCCCAAATCCATTGTAGGATAAACCACTCCTGTATTCCATCCTGTTCCTCGCCTCCGTCTGTCTTTCTTTATCTCCCTGGGAGGGTCTGGCAGCAGACCCCCTCCCGTTCTTAAATTGGGGAATTCTTTTACTAAGTTTATGAATCTGTACCTTGTTTCTCCTGTTCCTTTAGTCTGCACACTCTTGTCATCTTTCCCTTTCTGTCCCTCCTCTTTCTCCTCCTCCTCTTTTATCTCATCCCATTTCATCAGATCCAGCTCCGCCCACTTCTGTTTCTGTCTTCCCTCAGCTAAGAACACCTCAACCGCTTTATTCCGCCCTATTTCTCCATCATCAATCTTAATAAGTTCTCCTACAGCACATCCTTCGTACTCTTTTGGCTGATTCTTCTGGGAGGACGGCACACTTCGTGACTCTCGCTCACATTGGTATAATGCATAATGATATGATTTCTGGTTCCCTATATAAAGGTCCAAATGCAATTTTTTTTATTTTGTGTGGACTATGCAGCTACCCTTCACTTCTATATATAGATAGGGCCTACCTCAGCAGAAGTTCTCACAAGAAGAGTGCCAATCGTAGGGACATCGATATCAAGAGAGAGAAACCAAGCAGGATGCAAATGTGTGTGTCCCTCTGATCTCTAAAGCAAGCCAGATGGCTGGGAGCAAGCCTTGATATACACAATTGAGGAATAATTAACACACCTGAATGGCAAGAAAGCCACTGAGAGCTGAAAAGAAACAATGGTTTAAGGATTAGATCAAAGTTACCATTCTGGACTTTAACTGGAAGTAGAGTCATGGCAACTGGACTTCTTTCTTGTTAGGTTGAAACGTTTCACTGCTCCTCCAAGTAGCGAAACATTTCAGCCTAACAAGAAAGAAGTCCAGTTGCCATGGCTTAACTTCCAAATAACCATGCCTGGATGACTGAGAATCTTCACAGATACATTCCAGAACTTGTGTCTGCAGGATTTTACATTCTTAAGCTTTGAAGTACAAAGTAAAGGGATTTAGTGGAGAGGAACCTTAGTGAGGGGGAGATGAAGAGTGAAAGGAGAGAGAGAGATGGGCTGAGAAACAGCTTAGCTGGAAGGCTTTCAGCCATGTCTGTTGTTTGAACTCAAGGATTTTAGGATGGAACTTGAAGATAGATTAGCAGCCCTGGGACTGTGAAGAAGCAGAGGTGCAGGGCAGAGGTGGAGGATCTTAGCCGCAAGGCAGGATTGTGTTTTTCTTGTGTGTAATTTCTTTTGCCAATGTTCAAAGTCTGTTCTTTCTTTGCAATGCTCAAGGCTGTTGATTATTTTTTTCCAAGTCTGTTCTTTTGATTTTGTGACTGTTTCCCTAAGCTTGCAAGACTTGCTTTCTGGTTTTCAGCTAAGAATAATCTTTAATTTGTTTTTATTCTTTTATTTCTTTTAAAATAAACCTTAAAAAGAGCTTTAGTCTGGAACTTGCTATTATAGGAACTCAGCTTCTAAATCTCATGACTAGCCAAATGACAACAACTACTATATGAGTTTTGACAGCATGTTAAGAGATCCTTGGGCTCTAGTAAAGTGTAAACTCAATGCTCTGCTCCTTTTTGTGAAGGGGATGGTGGCAGCTTTTTGTATGAAAATGGTAACCTTTCTCGGGAGCCTAGTGGAGATTCAGATTGTAGCTGCTTCTCAGGAAATTCCCCTGTCTTCAGGGAATGCTCTGGTCTCTGTGGAATCCACTGCTGAAGCTCAGAGTGGTCTCATGACACTCCCACATCTCATTTTTCCCTAGAATCACAACCTCTTTCTGTCAACGATATGAGGAACATTGCAAATGTTGATGAGTTCTTACGGAATTGAATTGATATAATTATTATCCATGTGCAGTGGCCAAATCCAACAGATAAAACTATTATCTGTACGCAGAGGACTATGTTCTATCTTCTGCTGTGCAGCAGTTAGACATGAGGATGGGTCCTATTTTTAAAAGACTACATTATTTTAATACCATAAAGACGGTTGAGTTCACAGAGATTCAAATCCAGATGTTAAGAGCAAAGCATTCACAAGCCTATGAGGAAAACATTAGATTTTGTTTCTTCCAAATTCAACTCTGTTAAATCTTGCTTCCTTTCCATTTCATTTATGGACGATTGTTGAAAAATTTTGGGAAATTAAACAAAAATATTTATTATTTTATTTTATTTAAAATATTTATAGCCCACTTTATATCCCAGGATCTCAGGGTGAATTACAGAGCGGTATATTTTTTAAAAAAACAATAGATGCTTAAAGCAATTTAAAGTTGAACAGTTCAAAACACAAAATTAAACATTAAATCCTTTGTATAACCCAGTGGTTCTTAACCTTTGTTACGTGGATGTTTTTGAACTGCAACTCCCAGAAACCCCAGCCAGCACAGTTGGTGGTGAAGGCTTCTGGGAGTTGCAGTCCAAAACTCCTGAGTAAACCAAGGTTAAGAACCAGTGGTATAACCTACACAGGTCACAATCCTTAAATGGCAAAAAACTATCTTTGGGGAGATGGTAGTAAAGGACAAATGTGGGCCATATTGCAGTTTTGAAGATGTTGAAAAAATATTTTTATAAGTCAAGCAAATATTTTTCTTTCATGATTCATGAAATTGCAAACAGGGAATGAAATTATGTTATGTGGGCTAGATGCTTAAAGCAATTTAAAGTTGAACAGTTCAAAACACAAAATTAAACATTAAATCCTTTGTATAACCTACACAGGTCACAATCCTCAAATGGCAAAAAACTATCTTTGGGGAGTTGGTAGTAAAGGACAAATGTGGGCCACATTGCAGTTTTGAAGATGTTGAAAAATATTTTTTTATAGGTAAAGCAAATATTTTTCTTTCATGATTCATGAAATTGCAAACAGGGAATGAAATTATGTTATGTGGGCAGGAAATGGACTGTTTGTACTGTCTGTCCAAAATGGCCCATTCACTAAAAGGTCCTATCTGGTTCATTAGATAGGCTAAGGGTGTCAGGGTGTGACTCCATGACTCCACTCTTTGGAAGCTTTGAAATATGGTGAATGTGTTTATCCTGGGACATACACTGGCCACTTCCAGAATCTTGATCTTTATAGCATTGTACCCTTTGGAGCATCATGTAAGAAAGTAGCTAGGCTCCCGACCATAGGATAATGTTTGGTCCTGAAGAGACAAAAGGAGCTACATTTTCAGTTCAGTGCCAAGGTCATAAAAGAAATCATAAAAGTAATTAATTGTCTTAATATTAACTTTATAATCAGAGTGAAATTTTGACATATTTAATGCATGTGTTTAACTTACCTACAGAGTTGTATTCTTGAAGAGAATTAAAGTGCACAAGCTGGATATAGGCATGGAATACAAGAAATACATATTGTTGGCTACTGCCTTGTGTTTAGGATATATCTGCCCCCAAAGTGAAGGACGTCCACCTTGTAAGTATATATAGTTTATTATTTCATAAATAAAGCAAGGCAAATTAACAACAAGAAAGAACGCATTAACTGTTCATATAAGAAACAGCCAAAATGTTACTAAAAAAATAAAAATGCAAGCAATCTAACATCTTCATTTTTCTCCCTTTTCAGCATATTATGTATGTCCATGTAGATGTCAGAGTGAAATTTTGAAATATTTAATATATGTATTTAATTTACCTACAGAGTTGTATTCTTGAAGAGAATTAAAGTGCACAAGCTGGATATAGGCATGGAATACAAGAAATACATATTGTTGGCTACTGCCTTGTGTTTAGGATATATCTGCCCCCAAAGTGAAGGACGTCCACCTTGTAAGTATATATAGTTTATTATTTCATAAATAAAGCAAGGCAAATTAACAACAAGAAAGAACGCATTAACTGTTCATATAAGAAACAGCCAAAATGTTACTAAAAAAATAAAAATGCAAGCAATCTAACATCTTCATTTTTCTCCCTTTTCAGCATATTATGTGTGTCCATGTAGATGATTCCCATCACTATCACGGTTGATGAAACGACAGGGAACAGCCCAGTTCTTCTGGACAGAATTTGACATGTGCAAAACCTTAGTGTTGGAAGACAAGGGTCAAAATTCTGCTGCTTAGAATAGTAAATTGCACTAGAATAGGCCCATTGAATCTGTTGAAGATTTGACAAGTCAACTTTTCATAGATTTAAATTGGCCTGCTCTGTCTGTGACTGACTTTAGCACAGTACGTTACAGTGAGTGCAGGCCCATTTGAATCAAAGGAACGTCTGCAGAATATTCACTTGCTTAATCCCCACTGATTCACTTGGACTACTTGAGTGTGATTTAGTATGCTAAACAACAGGATTTTGGCCAAGGAGTCTCTGTTGGTCTGTTTGAAACACAGATGGTGTACATAATATCTAGACTTACTCTGCAGGATGTGAAGCTCCAGTTATTTACAGACTGGATTTGCTTATGCTCACTCTCATTATAAGGCTCAACTAGTTAGAAATGGATAAAAGGACTATTCACAGAACTAGATTCTAAAACTAAGCAAAGAACTTATGTGATCAGTGATTGTTTCACTATGTTGTTGTTTAGTTGTTAAGTCGTGTATTGTTTCACTATGTTGTTGTTTAGTTGCTAAGTCGTGTCTGACTCTTCGTGACCCCATGGACCAGAGCATGCCAGGCCCTCCTGTCTTCCACTGCCTCCCAGAGTTGAGTCAAATTCATGTTGGTTGCTTCAATGACACTGTCCAACCATCTCGTCCTCTGTCGTCCCCTTCTTCTCTTGCCTTCTCACTTTCCCAGCATCAGGGTCTTTTCCAGGGAGTCTTCTCTTCTCATGAGATGGCCAAAGTACTGGAGCCTCAGCTTCAGGATCTGTCCTTCCAGTGAGCATTCAGGGTTGATTTCCTTCAGAATGGATAGGTTTGTTCTCCTTGCAGTCCAGGGGACTCTCAAGAGTCTCCTCCAGCACCACAATTCAAAAGCATCAATTCTTCAGCGGTTGGCCTTCTTTATGGTCCAGCTCTCACTTCCATACATTGCTACTGAAAAAACCATAGCTTTGACTATGTGGACCTTTGTTGGCAAGGTGATGTCACTGCTTTTTAAAATGTTGTCTAGGTTTATCATCGCTTTCCTCCTAAGAAGCAGTTGTTTTTAATTTTGTGACTGCTGTCACCATCTGCAGTGATTACGGAGCCCAAGAAGGTAAAATCTGTCACTGCCTCCGTATCTTCCCCTTGGGCCCAATGGCCATGATCTTGGTGTATTTTTTGATGTTGAGCTTCAGACCATTTTTGGCACTCTCCTCTTTCACCCTCATTAAGAGGTTCTTTAAGTCCTCCTCACTTTCTGCCATCAGAGTGGTATCATCTGAATATTGGAGGTTGTTGATATTTCTTCCAGCAATCTTAATTCCAGCTTGGGATTCATTCAGTCCAGCCTTTTGCACTGTGTATTCTGCATATACTGTAAGTTAAATAAGCAGGGAGACAATATACAGCTGTGTTGTACTCCTTTCCAAATTTTGAACCAATCAGTTGTTCCATATCCAGTTCTAACTGTTGCTTCTTGTCCCGCATATAGATTTCCCAGAAGATAGATCAAGTGGTCAGGCACTCCCATTTCTTTAAGAATTTGCCATAGTTTGCTGTGCTCCAGCACAGTCAATGAAGCAGAAACTTTTGCATAGTCAATGAAGCAGAAACAGATGTATTTCTGGAACTCTCTGGCTTTCACGATATTGCCGCAGAAAATCTGACTTTCATGGTGTTGCTGAACTACGTACATCAACCCTTATCAATGACTGGGGCTTTTGGGGTGACTATAGTGCAGCAGAAAATCTGACTTTCATGGTGTTGCCGATCTACGTACATCATCCCTTATCAATGACTGGGGCTTTTGGGGTGTGTTTTTATTAAAGAGCAACAACATCTGGAGAGGTTCCCCATCCACATTTTAACATATACTCAGCCGATGGCATAATCAACAGACTACCCCTCAGAAATTTATGCTGTAGTAAAATATGGTGAATGCAACCTTGATATTAATAAGTTACATATTGCTTGCCCCAGGTATGAAATCACTGGCAACTGTTATTTTTCATGCTAGTATACCCCACCCCGAAATAGAAGAAATTACTGCAAAGCAAGAGAGAACTGAAAAATGCTGCACAACACAGACATTATTGCAGCTGAGCTCCCAGAAGTAATTCCCAGCAGAGGCTGCAGGCTACAGCCGACGTTTTCTGTCTTCCAAACAGATGCATGCCAATGTCTCATGGATCCCAAAGACCGAAGGAACTGTAATTATGCTTCTGTAGGCATCACTGCAGAGGAATGCACGGCAAATGGATGTTGCTTTGATGCAATGGTCCCTGATGTCCCATGGTGTTTCGTACCTTCTGGACAAAGAGGTAATAACAAATGAGAGGTGGGCAGAGATAGGAAGTAGCATCACTGCTAGGTGGATTACACGGCTCGAGCCTGCCAGGTATGAATTATGCTTTCAAGGTGCTTAAAAATCTTTTGGGGAAAAAAAATGTACATCATTGAAGAAATTTGACTCCACCACATTCACAGCTGTAGGGAAGTAAAGAAGATCTTCCCAGACAGATGTTCCTTTCCAGCTGAGATAAAAAGGATTCAAAGGTCTTTTCCAGATGATTTGAAGAGACAACATTTAATTTCCAGCACTATATTCATACGAGCCCCACATGATATATTTCATTGCTAAGCAATTGGTGAGATGTGTAGAAGAGGGTAACTTTGCTATAAAGGGGACATGACATGGCTTTCACTTGTTTTATCAAGGCAAGCTAATAGTCCAATATTCTGTTCTGCAGTTTTCATTCCAACACCTAGAAAATAAGATACTGCTGCAGTGACATTCAGTATGGCTGGCCTGTTCCATGGGAGGAGCTTTACAACAGTTGCATGGACCCCTTGTCAGGAAGAAGCATGGTATTCACACAGTGGGAGCCAGTTCATCTGTATTATTTTAAAATCAGCCTCCAAATATTTTATTTTTATTTACTTTTTTGTTTTACTTAAATTGTTTTACCCCACCCTTCTCCTTAAAAAGAACCCAAGGTGGCTTACATCATTAAAAAGAGAATATTTAATAGCTAAAACAGTATGTATACACATATTTTAAAAGAATTAGACAAATATTATATTAAAACAGTAAATAAAATCAATCTGAACAACATATTTAAAAGGAACAAGGTAAAGCAATCCATTTTTAAAAAATCCTCTCAGACAGTCAGTCAGTAAGGGAAAACCTGTCTGAAGAGCAAAAGGTCTTTGCTTGTGAAAGGACAGCAAAGATGGGGCCAATCTGGCCTACCGTGGGAGAGAGTTCCAGAGTCTGAGAGCAGTGACAGAGAAGGCCCTTTCCTGTGTCATCACTAAACACATCTATGAAGGTACTGGAACTGAGAGTAAGGTCTTTCCTGATTATCTTAAAACTGGAGCAGGTTTATAAAGTCCTCGAGATAGCTTGGACCCAAGCCAATGTCTGTGATATATCTGGTTTTCAATTGATATACAGTGGTGCCCCGCATAGCGACACTAATCCGTTCCCAAAAAATCGTCGCTATCTGGATTCATCACTATGCGGGGAAAAAAACCCTTAGGAATGCATTAAAACACGTTTAATGCATTCCTATGGGCAAAAAACTCACCGCTGTGCGGAAATCCTCCATCTGGCCGCCATTTCCGCTGCCCGGTAAGCGAGGAAAGGGCGCGAAAACACTGCAGGCGGCCATTTTGTTTACCTGGCGGCTATTTTGGAAGCACCGATCAGCTGTTTTTAAAACATTGTTATGCGATAATCGGTAAGCGAAACGCTTACCGATCATCGCAAAGCGATTTTTAGCCATCTAAAACATCGCAATGCAATCACTTTTGTGATTGCAAAAAACTAATCGCTATGTGGATTCGTCGTTAAATGGAGCCCTCATTATGCGGGGCACCACTGTAATTTGATCAGTGGATTACTTCTCATCCTAGCTAGCTAGAAAGCAGCATTGAATTAGATCCTGATTTATTCATACTTAAGCCCTTTTGATTTCAACAGATCTAATCGAAGGGTGGGCAAAATGCATTGTCAGACTTCAGCTTCTTCGCTGGCCATGCTGACCAGGGAGTTGCAATATAACATCTGGAGATGTTTACTGACCATAGTCTACTCTCTGACAAAAATTCAATCTATTTTGATCTTAGCTTTGATTACAAACTGAAAGGCAGATATGCAAAGTGACCTGGGCAATGTTTTTGATAGCTTCTCTTCATTATGCAAAGAAAATGATCGAACCAGAAGCAAGGCTGGACTGCGGCTACCAAGGGATTACTCGTAAACGGTGCCAAAGAATTGGATGCTGCTTTGATCCCACAGCTTCTGGTGCACCAGTATGTTTCCATCCCCCAGTAAACAACGGTAATGTCTTTTAAAAAATGTTCTATGATTTTTCTAGGGACCAAA